AGTGCCTTTGCAGTGATTGTTGATGTATTCTGTTTCTAATTCACTTTCGAAGTATATTTATAGCGCCGGTTGGTACTTCGTGTTAGTGAACAAATATTTCTTCCGTACAAATGTTGCGTCAAGGACGGATAATTGAGTTCGTGCAATGAGACGGGAAGGGGTACATATTCATAACAAACATGTTTCTTTGAATCAATCCGTATTTGCCTTCTGTGGCGCAATGAGTGGTGCTTCTGCTCGGTATGCAGGAAGTTCCGGGTTCGAATTGTTTCCCAGAGATCGAGTATATGCACTGGGACTTTTCATGGTTTTTTCGGTCCCTGCTAATACATTTTGTGATGGTTCCTTGGACTAAAACTGCAGTTAGCATATTTCCAGCTGGATATTCTTAATTGTCCCATCTTTTTGACACGAAATAAACAGTGAAGTTTGTAAAGCTTCATTAAATAAATAAAGATCCACTAACAGACTTCTTGTTAGAAATATTATGCAAATCGAGTATGTGCCAAGTCTAAAATGCTTCTGACGATTGAGTTAGTCATAAATATGATCATTAATTTGGACATTGCCCATCGTCGTAGGGTTTTTGAAACATGACGTTTCAGAACCTGGTGTTATCACTGTCATCAGCTAGCATACTCTGTGATCCAGATCAGCTGTGGTCATTGAAGCCAGCAGAATAAGAACCAGCCTCATCTCCTCTGTTGATGATGAAAACATTGTTTCTGAAACGTCGTCTTTGAGAAAAACTTATGTCAGTGAACAATGACATAAATAATTGTAATGTGGGTGAACAGCGTGTTTAATAAAAATTTTTTTTTCAGCTTCCATTTCAGAAAATTGTTATACCATTGTAATATTTGATTGACACGATTCTTGATATAATATACTAACTGAATTTGCTGTTGATATGTGCTTATGTTAAAAATGTAAAACGTGTTCTTGTTGATCACATTATTTGTGAAGGACAAACAGCATTAGTATTAAACAGTCAATTTGAAAGCTAAATGATGTTATCTGTATACATTCCTTGTCGCACTTATATTGGTTTGAGATGAATCTCAGATAACTAGGTTGTGAGAGGGAGCTGGCAGAGAATGGTGTCTGTGGATAGTTCTACTATCAGTGAACTATTTCTTTGCCATTTCTTTTGATTACATATTTTATCTTTCTCAGAACCTTTTTTTTTGTCCCAGACAATAAAGATTGACAGAATGAGTGGTTTTGTACTTCTACAATTTTTATCAATTTCTGGGTTGTAATCTTAGCCCAGGGATTGACTATCCTGACAGTTTTTTGTGGTTTTCCTCAGTACCTTGGGGAAGATGTGTTAGTACCTGAAATTAAGCCATGACTGTTCTACATTCATAACAGTTCATTATTAATTTTTTAATTAATTATCCTGTTCCTCTTGTAAAGACAGGAAATATAGACATGACATTCAACTGATTTAAAAATTTCTTAAGTGTGGTCTGTGAGGGAGAAATGTTCAGATTATCTGAAAAAAAAGTGGTTTGTGTGTAGACAGTAGTTAACGTGTGGAGAAACAACAGATATTGTAATGCAATTTCCGATTTATTTACAGGCACTGGGGAGATGGCTTCATTCAGAGAGTTTACTAGCGTCCTTGTGGTTCCGTTTAGAAGAGGAAGGTAGACAAAGCTACCAATGATGCCGCGGCTGTGTCATTTGGTATAAAGTAGTTACCCACTAATTTATTACCTATAATACCTCAAAACTAACACCACAATGCATCCCTCATCAAAGCGATCTTCTCCATTCTGCTGGTACCCGTCAGCCTCTCCCATCTCCACAATTGTTGCAACAATAGTTGTACTGACTCTCATTGGACATGGATTTGCATATCTGATCATTGTAACAGAGGATGAACCACCTGGTCATGTGGTGTTCAATGCTTCATTACCACGTCTTGGGAGGTAAGTAAAAAAAAGGTTATTGGGTACTTGTGGGTTATAGGGACACATCACTTTAGAAATAGGTTAGCTTAGGTTAGGTTAGGTTAATGTATGTGGATAAATGACATATACTTGAAAGTTGTTATATTTTATTTCACCTAATGTATTTTTAAAGCAATGTGTCCCGATAACCCACAAGTACCGGTTATTGTAAATTAATTGCAAAATTGTTTCTTCTCTTTTATGTTATAGATGCAAGTTACGCAAGAGATGGAGATTGACATTTTTATGTCATTACATGTTCAGTTTTTCATACACGTTCTTTTCACCAAGTACACACAATATGCAGGCCATACATTATCTATGTATTTTATTTCCAAAATCCATAGCACAACTTCCTATGGAGGGGAAGTAAAGCCGGCGGTCCCTTGTCGTAGATTCATGGCATGTAAAAGAACCTTACGAGCATGAACGAGATGCTTTGTAAGCAAAATTCAGCGGCCATTGCTCACCCAAGTCTCTCCTGATTCATTACTAGATGGCTCTTGAAGCCAAATCAGGATTGAATAGAAATTGTGTAGAGGCAGTTGGCTTGTCACTCACTACTCACAAATGCACTCTTCAATGACAAAGAAACCTCCCACAAGGGAGGAGACCAAGGCTCGGTTTGGGCTGTTGCACCATATAATCATGATTTTATTTCTAAAAGTACTCAAAGGATTGTAGTGAAGTTTGGTATTGAGGTTTACACTAAAAAGCTATCAGGCTAATTTAGTTTTGATCCATGTTGGTCCAGTGCCTGCGAGGCCTGATGAGTGAGTATTGAGACTAAATTTGTGAAAGCTAAGATACTGTACTTACTGGCTTTGGAGGATACACTTCTTCAAATCAGACCCCTCAGTAAGTAGCTTACACACTCGTTTCATCATTTATGTCTGTGGTGGGTGGATCTCTAGAAATTGGTTTCTGGAACCATAAACAACTAATCTACTCACTTAGACTCAGTTGCTTACATAACATTAAGTTTTTTTTTGCCTTTTAATCTTGTTTTTGTTATTTAAAGATCAGAAAAGTATGAGTAAGAAGGCTGCCTCAGTCGAGAACTGCTGTGTTTGTCCAGTCGTTATTGCGTAAGGTAGGCTGTGGCTGGCACGCGAATTATCACTATGAATTTTAACACATGCAAGATTTTTTAACTTTGTGGCTATTTGTGAAGTATTGCCTCATGAAGACTTTTGAGGACTTTCAAATTGGAATGTTGGTTAATCAGCTGGTTTTATGGATCATACTTATGGTGCACTCTGTCCACTTAATCAAACAGTAATTACCTAAGTTTTGCTGTGCATTGATGTGCTCATTTAGGTCATGGCTAGGAAGATGATTTATGTATAATGTGAAGCTTTCACAGTGGCAGTCGTTAATAAAATCCTCTTAGGCCATCAGCCAACTCTGTTGTCATTATCAAGGCTAGTCACTATTTTAATAAAATTTTACATTTTTTTACCTTGTGTTTAGATTATATTTTAAATAGATCTATACGATGTATTGGATCAAACCATCAGCTGGGGTGTGCATGAAGGAAATACTGATGAACGACCCTCGGGTTACAAGCCGCGTCAGGTGGCTGAATGGTGAATAAACCACCTGACACGGCTTGTAACCCGAGAGTCTTACATCAACTTCAGTCGCCGCGAAAGCTTCACTTTATACAAAAGAAAATACTGTTTCTTTCTTGTATTACTTTAATATCATGAGTCATATTAGTGCTGTCATTTATTATTTGAATCGGATATTGAGATTTCTTGTGAAATAAAAGATTTTGTCAACAGGAACAGACATTACAAGATCAATACCCACCGGAGTGCTGGTTTTGTCCATCGAATACTTCATGTCGATCCCACCAGTGGTCAAGTTTTCCTGAAAAGGCACTTGGAATGTGATGGTTTATTGTATCCAAATCTCTTCACACTGTATGTTGATTCCACAGCAAATGAGACTTGTGGAGTTGATTATTATTCACTGTCATTGAGGATCTTTGTCACTGGTGAACAGTGTGAAAAGGAAGGTGATCCAGAGAGTGGAGAGCTCAGTAGAATTCATGTGAAAGTATCTGAAGCTAAGAGGTGAGTGTAATTTGTTTGGTGTGGTAGTGTTTGAACAAATTCTTAATATCAGCTCTGTAAAAATCCTTGGATGAAGTTTCAGGACCAGTTAAATTTTAAAATTCATTACAAAATAATAAATTAAATACGAGCCACATCGATCTCTCTCTCTCTCCTTGTGCACATACATGTGCCACCCTTTGCATTTTCATTCATACAGACTTATTAATTTAATTTCTTCAGACAGGAACTTAATACTCCTATTTGGTAAGACTTGCATAAATGCAGGTTACATTTCACACGAGTAGTTGTACTTTTGTCGTCATCACTTCTGTTGAACGGACGGCTCCTTCCTACAGCGTTTCTTATAGGCATTTGAGATAGCCTGGCTTCATCTGTTTTAACAGTTACCTCGGTAATCTTCTCATTGAGTGATCATTGTACAAAATCATCTCTGGATTCATTTCATCTCCTGTATCTTTGTTAATTTCAGGGTCATGGTGTATTTTTGGAGATAGGATGATTGCTTTATTCCTCTTAGGAACATGCGAAACCATTGCCCATGTATCTGTAAACCTAAAGATACAGTTATTTTACTTTCTTTTTATTATGAGGTTGAAATTCTTTTGCAATCTGTGGTTTATTTTTAAGCAGGTTGCCCACAATTGTCATAATCTGCTGTCTTAATAGCTCCTCAGCCAAAGGAACGCTGTTATCCTGTCTTGTGCAGGTGACAGGGTATGAAAGCCTATTTTAGCTGGAGTGTTGATATGTTTTGAATAGGCCGTCCGACTGTGTTCTTACATATAATTTGGTTTTTAGGGTGTAAGATGTACTGAGTCCTCCATACTGAATATTTTGAGGCCATCTGAGCCAGGGTAGCTCAGTCAGTATAGTGACTGGCTGTGGACTGGTGACTAAGTTCCTCTAGCCTCTGCATCCAGACTGGCTCTGGGGCCCACCCAGCCTCCTATCCAATGGTCACCTGGGTCCTTTTGTGGGGGTAAAGCATGGCTGGGGCATGATGCTAACCACTCGCCCCTCACCTAGCGCCGATGTTAAGAATGAGTAGGAGCTATATGCTCTCCAACCTAAGCGCCTACTTGGTGTATGTTGGGACAGCTTTTACTTTTTACTTTGCCAGATTATTGGGAATTTGTTGCCTAAATGCACAGTGGAAGTAAGCATTTTGTAAGTTTTTATAGACCTTGGAACTTACCCACTTTGTACCTTTGTCTTTAATATAGTTGAAGCTGAGAACATCTGTTTTTATGTCTTTACAGTCTCTTTTATCGCTTCCAGCATTTAGTTTTATTGCAACAATATCTGAATTATGATGCATTAATATGATCAGCAGTTTCTGAGTTTTCAGCTTTACCACAGACATCCTCAGCTTTGACCTCACCATATCGTCCGCTGCTTCTTTGTTGGCTGTGCATTTGGATTAGCCATTGTCTTAAATTGTTCTAAAATGAGATTATCAGTATCTCTATATATATCTGTAGGAATCTGTATTACAGAAAGGAACATGAACTACAAAGTTATGAATTAAAAATGTATTACGTACCTAGTTATGTGGGGTCCAGTTGTCTTCTAGCCTCCCAATATTTGTGAAGTGGCCTTGCTGCAACCTACCTCTTATACTGTTAGAGTCGTACCGAATGGCCAAAGTCATACATTCCATACAGCAACAAGTGGGAACATAAAAATACGGAAGGGTGATTGTACCCTTTGTGGTTTATGGTTTATGGTTTAATGTAGATGGGCTGAGAATCTTACATTTGGCTCATTTTAGGGAATTTATTTATTTGACAGAATATTTGTTATTACACATAAACTCTAATTTTCTTTTATCATTGGGGCAACTTACTGTTACAGATGGATCAGTGAAACATTTGCTTCATTTGCAATCCCTGGCACTGAAGGATGGAGGCAGATCTGCTTAAGAAAGAGTCAATTTATAAACAGTATTGCATCTTTCCTACCTTTGACTGTTATGGAGAAGTGCCATGTTCGCTATGTAGATGTCAGTGATCCAAGATTCAGAATAGAAACAAGAGCTGGAGATTTGGTATCGTCTGCAGATCAGTGCATTGTAGAACCCCTTTGGAAGGTAAGTTACGTAGAGCTTTTAAGGACTGTCATAAAGCAGATTGGGACAAGATCACAGAGTGAAAATACTCAATCTAGAAGTGACTTAGTGCTAGACTTGAAGAACATTTACAAGCTTGCCTGTTGGCATTATTACAGTGTTCTAACTGTTATTATGCGTTCTTTGCATGAAGTGTATTAAATGAACATGTAGGACTGGTCATGTCTGTCTGCCTATTTGCCTATATGATGCAACTGGAGATGGCTTTGGATGAGACTTGGTGTGGAGGTTGTGCCATTGGGGACTACACAAAAACCACACTTTTTAATTTTTTGTCACCTCTAATAACAAATTGTTAGAGGAAGAAACTTATGTGGTGGGATTGACACTATGTCCACTTGCAGCAGGGTCATACAGTGATGTATGGCTGTTGATCTTGGTCTCCATGGTTACCGTTGCTACCTTGGTTGCCTTAATTATGGTTACCATGGTTCCATGGGTACCTTTATTGCCATGATTACCCCAATTATGTTGTTTACCATGGTTGTCTTTGTTAAGATAGTCACAGTATTTAAGGTTACCTCTCGGTTAAGTTATGTTAGGTTATGAGGTAGGCTGGGTTAGATTTGGTCAGTTTGGGTTGGATTAGGACAGGTTGGGTCAGGTTATGTTAGATTAGATTAGATTAGATTAGGTGGTTTGGTTGGGTAAGGGTCATAAGTTTGGATTGGAACAGGCTAGATTGAATTAGGTTAGGCTGGGTTAAGTTAGGTTATGTTGTCAAATGTTAGCTTAAGGTAGGTTAAATTATGTTGGGTCAGTTGGGGTTGAATATGGGGAGGTTAGGTTAGTATGGGTTATGTTGGGTTGGGTTAAGTTAGGTAAGTTCAGGTAATTTAGTTCATTTATTTTCCCTGGAGGTATCTGGAGGGGTATTGGGTTTTGCTCTGGTGTGTGGCCACAGGCATGTGCCCTGGATGGGTTGCCCTTAGGGATTGAATGTTGTGGGCCTCACAATAACCCAGGCATAGAGGATGCACCACTGGGAGGAAACCCCTATGTGGGATGCCCCAATGGATAGGGCAGAGTCCTGTTTGTGGGGTGGAGTATAACAGGTATGGTAGAGACAGGTGGATACAACTTATGGTAAGCAGCCTCAGGTTGGGACTGAGCCCCCCTGTTGGTTAGATTCGGTACTGAGGTTTTCAAAGAACGAATGTAGAAACTCTTTGTATTCTGGTATGCATTACACTTTCTAGTTTTGTTCTGTTAGATAACTGTGATTGTATATCGTAATAATGATTTTAAGGTGTCATAATTTTGTTTTCTAAAATGAACTGCATGGTGCTTTCAATAAAAATGTATGCTGGTAAACATCCTGTTATTTGTTTTAGGTGACTATATTACTGGAACTTTATTGCAACACAAATATAAAACATAGTAATCGCAAGCATACAAAATTTGGTATAGTTTCATCTACAGAGCATCGCCTAAAACTTGTTTACCATCACCAAGATCTGAATGACACTGACATGGCTCACAGGTGTGTACAACATTTTTTCTAGTAAGATTAATGAGGTGTGGGTACAGTACATTCAGTCTTAGGATTTGTCATGATTTTTATTTGAAACGGTTTAGTTTCCAACTATAGTGCTTCTGAACTTCAGTATATATAAACTACATGTATTTGAATATGAGATGATTGTGCTCTAATTTAACAATTGGAAAAATGTGGATTTCCTTAAAACTGCAAGCAGCAAATCATAGTAGTTCTTCACTGGAGTGAATGTTACCTCATTAGTAGTACAGACGATCCAATATCCTTAGAGAGTTGCTACTCATGCACAAGTAGATGTAGGTAGTTGAATTGAGTATATATTAAATAATGACCAGATGGAATCTGATTTAGTATGAAAACTGGGAAAAGCCAGTTGTTATTTTCTCATGAATTTAAGTTTTGAAAAAGTGATTGCCATATATTTTGGTAAATACAGTATTAATTCTTCATGATATGATGTTTTTACGTCAAGCATCCTTTAGAGTGCTTTTATACAGCGCTGAATCGTGGACGTTGACCGAAGCTTCTTCAAAAAAATTGGAAGCCTTCGAAATGTGATTGTACCGACGTATTCTCAGAATTTCTTGGACTGACCGTGTAACCAACAAAAAAGTTCTCGAGAAACTCCACAAAGACGTTGAGGTTATTTACACCATAAAAAAGAGAAAGTTTGAATATTTTGGTCATATCATGAGGAACAGTGATAGATACAGGCTACTTCAGCTGATAATCCAGGGAAAAGTATTTGGAAAGAGAGGACCTGGCAGGCCAAAACTCTCCTGGCTTCAGAACCTAAAAACTTGGTTCTCGATGTCCACTGGAGGGCTGTTTCAAGGAGCAGCCAGTAAAGCTCAAATTGCTATGCTGATCGCCAACATCCGGAGCGGTTAGGCACATTAAGAAGAAGAAGAATAAGAAGTTTCCTCTATCACACACATCTTACATCAAACTTAGTTTATTACTGACTGCAGTCTACGAGGACTTACTTTAAAATCATCTTGAGCATTGAGTTTATAGCATGCTGTTCCTTCTCTTTGAAGTTGAGTCATTGTTCTTTCAGGCTTGCTTTTGTCCTCAAGAAAAGAAATAGTTCAACCACTGTCAAGATCTGGCAGGAGAAATAAGATGGTTTTAGATCAGGATATTTGTTGGAAAGATGTGACTGGTGTGTGGGGCGATAACCAGTACTTGTGGGTATTTCTGTTGGCTAGCATCTTGCAGATGACTAAAGTTGTCTGTAAACATCTTCTTGTGCACAATTCAAATTAGATTGGCTTGACTTGATTAATTTATGATAATGTAACATACTGATTTTTAATTGTCTCACGCAGAGTGCGAAGGGAACTCAGGAATCAGTCGCCTTACTTTGAACAAACTTTGTATGTGGCCTCTGTGATGGAAGAGAGGCCTCCTGGTGCATTGGTTACTACAGTGAAGGCCAGGGATCCTGAAAACTCTCCTGTTAGCTATTCCATGTTGTCACTCTTGGATTCGCGCTCACAAGGTGAGTGCAGAATGTCGCTTTCATGTTATGTAATAAATCTCGGTTATCCACAGAATATGTAAGGTAGCAATAGTAAAAGTAAAGTAAAGTTTGTCCCACTATATGCCATGTAGGCGTTTGGGGTGAGTGGAGGTATAGCTCCTCTCTTCCTTGACCCCGGCACTAGATGGGGGTGAGTGGTCAGCATCACGCCCCGGCCGGCTTTACCCCCGGGAAAGGACCCCGGTACCCATGGTAGAGGAGGCTGGGTGGGCCCCAGAGCCGGTCTGGACGCAGAGGCTAGAGGAAAAATCCTCTGCCCCCGTCGGGGATCGAACCCCGGTCGTCCAGCCCGTAGCTAGTCACTATACTGACTGAGCTATCCCGGCTCATAAGGTAGCAATAGTGATACATAATTATTCTGAGGTCCTTCCTTCAACATCTTTTTTAAGTCGTCATTATACGGCAATGTTACTTTTTGACGTTGCATTACATATTAAGTTGTCATACTGTTAAATAACCTGAGAAATAAATCATTCATAATATTGTCTCTTTAGAGGCAGACTGTGATGTGAAGTTTTCCTACTACCCTCAATGTGAAGTATTGGCTATAAGGCAGAAAATGATAATGACCAATTATGAGAGAATATCCAGATATTCATTGGAGGACAGACAGTGTGCTCATAAAATATCGTTCTGCATAGTAGATACCATTTCCTTTTATATGAAGATGGTGATAGATCCTTCTCTAGAATGTCATACATTCTTTTATTGAAACATGCAATGGGCAGTGTCTTAAGCAAAATACTCCTATGACATTAAAAATGTGACATTCAGTTAAGGCAGATGAGATAGTACGTTTAACCTTACTTTGTAATATGGGGATAAATAAAATTAACTCAACCTTTAGAGCCTACTCATGGTCTGTCTGGTGATGTGTTGCCATAGAATATGCTAAACTGTTAACCGCATAGTTAAATTCTTGTTAGCAGCCCTATAATGTGTTTAAATTCCCATTCCGATGCAGTAAAGCATCCCCCATTTCAGATACAATTTTGTAAGAATTAACATGGCTTTATTATATGGTGTATGTAATAGGCTACTTTTTTCTTTTGCAAATGAATGTAATTTAATTGTATATTTGTTATAATTTACTGATTGTGTTAATTTTATAGTTAACTGATTAATTTTCGTTGCAGGGATGTTTTCAATAGATAGTGGTACAGGTGTCGTCACTACACTCACAAGCCTGGATCGGGAGCTCGTTGAGCTACATTACTTTCGTGTTACTGCTGTCGATGACTCATTTCCACCAAGAAGTGGCACCACTACATTACAGATCAACGTTCTTGACGCAAATGACCATGCTCCAGTATTTGAGGCCGGTGAATATGACGCATCAGTCCGAGAATCTGTTTCTGTCGGATCCACAGTTGTGACTCTGAAAGCCACTGATCAAGATGTAGGGCGTAATGCCGAGGTAGTCAAGATCGCTTACTTTTCTGGATTTCCTTATTATATTATTTTATGTACAGTCATTTCTCCATTTACATAACTCGTGTATTTCTGAGAAATGCATAAATGAAGAGCTTGTTTTCGTAAGGCTTTTGAACTCAGATAATAAACATTTATAGACATTTAGTTATAAAAAATATTTTTTAGTTGTGTGTATTGTTTTGCAGGGTTTATCAGTTTTACATACATATGTTCTTTGATGGGACTTGTCAATTGTAATTTTCCCCAGGTTGATTGGATGATGAGATAGTGTATGCGATTTTGTACAGGTAGATGGCATTTAACTGTTATTGGTGCGTTTGCTGCAGAGCAGGGAAGACTAGAGGAGATTACTTATATTACAAAAACAATTTCAGAAATGGTTAAGAGCAGTTGTATGTTTGTTGCAACAGATCAAAATTGAAGATATGAGTTATATACTTCTCAATGCTCTGTTCTTGAATACTTTCAAACTTGTGATTGTCTCTGTGAGGAACAAGAATCATTTCCTCATTATGTGATGATGGTTGTCGGCCAGGGAATTGATGATCTTTGATGGAAGTATCACTTTTTCTTTAAATTGTGAAAGCCACTCACATACTCTAGTATGGCTGATGGTTTTCTTCTGAAATTTAGAATTGGCGCCTTTTAAGTTTCCATGGTCATCTTTCTAAGTTTCAGACAGATATTAGTACATGCACATGGTCCTGTATTGTTGGTCACTTCACAATACAGTGGTTATTGTGGGCACATGCATACAAGATAGTGTTTTACTTATAACAGATTCTTCGTAGGGGTTTTGCTGCAGTTGGGGTAATGTCAGGAAGTGTCAGCTTTTTGTCCTTGTAGTTTCTGTAATTGTTGTAAATAAAATTGTCCCACAATTTTATAAGTAGCCTTTATATACACATGAAGCATATAGTGTAGTATTTAATTTTTTAAATGTTCTTTTATAGGTTGAATATTCCTTGGTAAGTCAAGATGGAAGTGGTATTGGAAAAACCGATTCAGAATTGGAGGATGCTTTTCGCATAGATCCCAAGTCAGGTGTCATAACAACTCGTTCTGCATTGGATCGTGAGAGAATAGAAGTGTACACATTGGTTGTTATGGCAACAGATCAGGGTCTGCCCTCAGCGGGAGGTCAGCAGTCATCAACATCAACAGTTGTAGTGCGAGTTATAGATGATAATGACAACTATCCACAGTTCACTGAACGGACATACACCGTACAAGTGCCAGAGGATGTTAACTGGAGTGAGAACCCTGTCATTGCTACTGTCAAGTAAGATTCTCCTGTGTAATTACAAACATTGATTGATTAAACATGTGAAAAATAACAAAGTACATGGAGCACGGATACTAATTGTCTTTTGCCTGGTCCAGAAATTTACTGCCTTTTACGGAACCCAGAGGTTAATTATCATGAAGATTTGTGTCTTCTGTGTTGTTGCGCTGTGTAGTATGGTAGATGTTTACCAACGTTTCAGAGGTCATACTGCCTCCATCATCAGGGCAATGAATACTACACAGTGCAACAACCCAGAAGACACAAATCTTCATACTCACTGCTGTGAAGACCTCAAATCATACGTTAATTATCATGTTTATAAAGGCATGCATCCTGAGCCAGATGAATCCAGTCTGTACTTTCGTAACCTGTTTAAGACTTGTATTAATATTATCCTCCGATCTGTGTCTGAGTCTCCTTCCTTCAGGTTTTCTAGTTGAAATGTTGCATGCATTTCTTTTCTCTTTCATGTGTGATGCATGCTTTATCCATATCATTGTTCTTGATTTGTTTGCCCTAATAATATTAGGTGATGAGTAGAAATTGTGAAGATAATTAGCTTGCGGTTACTCCACTGTCCAGTTACTTCCTCCCTGTAGGCCCAAATATTCTCCTCAGTGCCCTATTCTTGGACACCAGCTTATATTCATAGTCATGGGAAAAATATTTTTGTTATAAGATTCTACGTGACTTGTTCTTGTTCATAAGAAGAACTTTGGGTTATACAGTTTTTGATCACAAAAGAAAATAAACCAAATAAACTGGAAAGAACGTGTATGCAGAATAATTTCAGGCAGGATACCAAAAATGATTTTAGGATACCACCCTAAAGGAAAGAGATGTTTGGGCCGACCCCTCAAAAGATGGAAAGATTCTGTTATGTAATGCCTGTAACAGGACATAAGGCCTGTACTGGAAAGGAAGAAGAATGTGATTTGTTTTATAGGTTTTATATGGGTGTGAAACTTGGTGTCTCATTTTAAGGGTGCAATGCCACAGTAAATCCATAAGAACCGATGTTATATACAGTCTTCAAATCATCTTACCCTATTAATACCGTCATGTCTTTACATGACAGGAGTAGGATAGAGTCTGCTTGTACTGAGAAAATTAATGCAGCGCTCTGTCCCTTCTGAGTATTTTAGATCAATTTATCTTATAAATAAAACTCAGTTGGGGACATAATCAGTTATCAGATGTGTTGGACGAAATTTATTTATTAAGTCATTATTCCCTAACAAGACTTGCGAATTATAAGAGCATTATTGTCAGTGACGATGTCAGTCTGTGAAGTAGAAGAGCTTCTTTGTCCAGGTTCTTCTGCTCATGCCATAACTGGTGTATGTCTGTTCACTTGTCCATATGACCTGTGTTGATATTGTGGTTTGTTGACCAGAGGTTTTACAGAAAGCCAGATTCATCTATATAGATTACTTCTACTGGTGTGGCATGTATGTTGGTTAGTATGTGGATCTCCCATTTTTCAATATATGCAGAGTTCAAATATCAAGACTGTGGAACTGGAAGGTGACTAGTTGCATCTTGAAACTTCAGCACTTGTATGCTCAATATGTATGAGCAACTAAGATCAATTCTGCATAAGCCTTTAATTTCGCTTTTGTTAGGCGGTGGAAGAATTATGACAAAGGATGTAAGGAAATATGAATTGGCTAAGTAACTTAAAAATTATATTGAACTTTCATGTTTGTCCATTTTTTTCAATCCATTTTGAAATTCTGGGTGATCCATGGAATTTGCAGCACATGGGAATGCGCTAATTTTGTTATGGGGGTTGAGTTTTAATATTGACCTTGAATTGAGTTTATGCTGTTTGTTAGATGTTATTTTTTCACATTGAAGAACCAGGTTCAATACTTGGGCACACATTTGGGACCGGTTGCACAGGTATTTCAAGTTTCTCGTTGCATTCATTGTTCAGCTTATACTCTGAGCTTGTCTGCAGCAGTATCTGTTATGTCGTATAACATGAAACACCAATTTACAAATCAATAGATTCCTTATAAAATCATACTGTAACTGATATTTTAAATGCATATAATATTAATTTCAGAGTTCTGAAATTGTCACTGGACAGGATGTTTGTGATACACGACATATTTTTCTGTTTAAGAGCTGTGGATGCAGATCAAGGCAATAATGCAGCTGTACGTTATGCCATTATTGGAGGCAACACCCAGAGTCAATTTTCTATTGATAGCCTGAGTGGGGAGGTGTCACTGGTGAAACCGCTAGATTATGAGACGCTTCGAAGTTACAGACTTGTGATTAGGGCACAAGGTAAGCTCTCTTAACAAAACCATGGCAAATCCTTAATAGGACATTTTCCAAGAGACTGATTACTAAAAATATCTTAATGAGGAAATGTTTTTAAAATTGTTTCAAAATTTAATTGTAGGTCAATGAGTAAGGTCTGTTAAGGCTACTATTATTCTTGCAGAATTATGCTTGTGATGGAAAACTGACATTTTCCCTCCTAATTGGAAGCTCCAATAAGAAGGTGAATGGAAGGGTAGGAAATATGAAACTGTAATTATTTCATTTGTAGTCTGACATGACTTTGAAAGGCCTTTCGTGTCAAAAGGAGCAACATATTTTATTTAAAGGAAAGATTGTATTAATCTGTAAAAAATTATAGAGCTGTACTTAGCATGCTGAAAACAGATTAATGGAACCAGGTATACTGTATATGAATACTGTATTTCCTCAATTTTAAGACACCATCGATTTCAAGGTGCACCCATGATTTAGTAATTTGTATTTAGGGGGGTAAACACTATGTTCGTTCAATTCTAAAGGGTTCTAACGATAGTAGATCACACTTAAAATTATTTGCTATCTGGACTTATTACATCTTCTTTGTTTAAAAGAGAAACCACAGCATTTTCGGAAACTGGCTCTGTTTCTGTCTTAAGGCAAGAGGGAAGGTACCTACTCAGTTGGGTCCACTAGAAAGAGTTAATCTCTATCCCTGGACTCATCCAGATAGCAAATAATTTTAAACTATATTCGTTCTTAGAAAACATCAAACATAAAGATACCCTGATTTCACAAACATTTTAAAATGTGAAAAAATTGTTTAAAAATTGAGGAAATACAATATTTTCAATTAAAATTAACCTTACAGTATTGAAGAAATAAGTCCAGACAGTATTCCTTTTTGCTCAAGGAGATAGAATTGGATTTAGTATTTCCAGTAGTGTGTTTGATGCACCATTTTGCACATTGCAGATGGTGGGAGTCCAAGTCGCTCCAACACAACACAGGTGCTGGTGAATGTCTTGGATGTAAATGACAATGCTCCTAGATTCTACACTTCTCTGTTTCAAGAGTCTGTTGTAGAGAGTGTTTCCACAGGATTTAATATTGTTAGGGTAAGTGACAAATGTTTGAGATTTGAAGTTCTCGTGGTGGTGAAGATGTTGATGTTGGTCTTGCAAATATAATAAAAATACAGGTAGCCCTCGATTTGCTCCGGTTCAATTTGCGCTGATTCAGAATAACGCCGATTTTGAAACCAGCAAGTCAAAAAGTGAGAAAAAAAAATTTACTATTATTTATAACATTTTACAATGTATCTCGTACTGATTCTTATAATAAATCGTAATTCTTACATCGCTGATTTTGAATAAAAATTATAAATACAGTCATCTCTGCAATT